CCCCCCCGCCCCCGGCCCAGCCAATGAGCGCGCTCCCCCATCTTCTCCCCCCCCCCTCACCCAAGGCAAAGGGGGGCTTGGCCAGCCTGCGCGCTCGCTCGCGCGTGCCAGCCTTTTTGCCAGTCGCTCCCGCTGGCAGCTCGGCTGCGAGCCGCCGCTGCCACCCGCCCCAGCCCAGGCTGGGGGGAAAAAGCCTGCGGGGGTGGATGCCCCTGCGCTGGGGCGGGCAGCGCGTTGAGGAGGGGCAGGGGCAAAGGCTGGGCAGCAGAAGGAGAGGAGGATGGAGAGGATGGAGCCCCCCGCGCCCTTCCTGGACACGGGAGGGGTCGAGCTGGCCGCGCCCGCCAGCCTGGCACCTACCCCGGCTCCCTTGGCCCCGGTGCCAACGATGCCAACGGTGCCACCCTCCTCCGGGGGTCCCTTGCGGGCTCCCCCCGCCCTGGCAGCCCTACACCCGGCTTCTCGCCACGGCAGCCAGCCCAACGTCAGCGGCGAGCCGGCTTGGGCGGCTCCGGGCCATTCGCCCAGCTCCAGCGGCGGTGCCCCGGCGGTGGCGGCGGGCAAGCACCGGCAAGCCAGCCCGTTGGCACACCGTCGCGACAGCAACCCCTTCACGGAGATCGCCATGAGCTCGTGCAAGTACAGCGGCGGCGTCATGAAGCCCTTAAGCCGGCTCAGCGCTTCCCGTCGGAACCTGGTAGATGCCACCGGTTCGGCGGCTGGTGCCGAGCCGGGCGAGGCGGCTCAAGCGCTGCACCTCTTGGCGTCCGGGGCTCCCCCGCCGGAGATCGTCATCTCCCGGGAAGGCAACCATCATCACCACGCCGCCAACACGGGCGGGGGTCCCGGCCACAAGCCCCCCGCCGCCGCCTCCTCCGCCGCCTCCTCGGCTTCGGCTGCCTCCGCCGCCGCCGGGCCACCCCCTTCGGCCAAGGCGCCCAAGCGCAAGAATCAGAACATCGGCTACCGGCTCGGCCACCGGCGCGCCCTTTTCGAGAAGCGCAAGCGGCTGAGCGACTACGCGCTGATCTTCGGCATGTTCGGCATCGTGGTGATGGTCATTGAGACGGAGCTCTCCTGGGGGCTGTACTCCAAGGTAGGGGGGGAGAGAGGGGCGGTGGGCGCCCCCAAGAGAGACCCCCGAACCTGCGGCGCTTGGATAAGGGGGCTGGCTGGTTGGGGGACTCGAACCTCTTCCACCTCTTCCCCAGGTCTCTTTCCAAAGTTGACAGGGGGAAATTGGCGGGGGGGGGGTGCAGACACTTGGTGGGGGTCCTCCAAGCTCACCCCTCTTGGATAAGGGGGCTGGCTGGTTGGGGGACTCGAACCTCTTCCCCCTCTTCCCCAGATCTCTTTCCGAAGTTGACAGAGGGAATTGTGGGGGTCGCAGATACTTGTGGGGTTCCCCCAAGCTCACCCCGCTTGGATAAGGGGACTGGCTGGTTGGGGGACTCGAACCTCTTCCCCCTCTTCCCCAGATCTCTTTCCGAAGTTGACAGAGGGAATTGTGGGGGTCGCAGATACTTGTGGGGTTCCCCCAAGCTCACCCCGCTTGGATAAGGGGACTGGCTGGTTGGGGGACTCGAACCTCTTCCCCCTCTTCCCCAGATCTCTTTCCGAAGTTGACAGAGGGAATTGTGGGGGTCGCAGATACTTGTGGGGATCACCCAAGCTCACCCCGCTTGGATAAGGGGACTGGCTGGTTGGGGGACTCGAACCTCTTCCCCCTCTTCCCCAGATCTCTTTCCGAAG